GGTTTCACCATGTTGGCCAGGCTGGTCTTGAACTCCTGACCTCAGGTGATCTGCCCGCCTTGGCCTCCCAAAGTGCTGGGATTACAGGCATGCGCCATCGCACCCAGCTCCTACGTGGTTTTCTACAGCAAATGCTTCCTGTCTCTTTGGCTACTTGACTTCAGTGTCCTTTCTTAGCTCCTGTCTTCTGCCTTTTCCCAGGGTTTCATCCTTGCTCTAACCTCTTATTCTGCATCATTTCTGAGGAGTACCTGATGTTCAGAAAAACAAAAACAGAAAATGAAAAACCAAACAACTATTTATTTATTTAACGGTGCCACATACCGTGGTCCTAGTTGTGATCATCTATCCACCGAGGTCACTCCCCGTTAGAAGACCTCACCGATGTTGCCAGAAGTCTGCATGCTCCTGGTGGGATCCCCAACACCTCCCTCCCACCGACCTACACTGCCTCATTGACACCATCTACTTTGGCTCTACCAGGACAGTTCCCATTTTGCTCTTTATCCCTGTTCACCTCAGACACCGCTACAAGCTCAGTACTCATCCTGAAGGGAAAAACCAAACAGTTCTGTACGACCTGTGTCTGCTCCAAGGCAGATAGACCTCAGCAGTTCCTGGAAGGCGAGGAGGGTGGAGGCATGTTTAGGTCAGGTTCATGCTTATCTTCCATAAGCTGAAGTGCTCCTGAATTCCAAACTCACGTATCCAACTAGGGGTGTCTGGTTGGATCGCAAACTTAACACCTCCAACACCTGCTCCTCCAACAGTCCTCTCTCTCTCAGCAAACAGCACCTCCACAGTCACTCTGTTGGAAAATTATGTTGGCTCTATCTTCACACTGTATCTGAAATTCGACCACTACTCATCACCTCCATTGCTACCACCTGGCGCCACCCACCACCAGATCTCTTCTTGATCATTACAAATGCCTCCTCACTGCCTCCTGTTTCCCTAACCCTTCTCAACTTGTTCTCATATCATCAACCAATGAAAACAAGAGTCAGATCACGACACACTCTTCTGGTCGGCATCCTCCAAAGAGGCTTCTAGAATATAAATACCAAAATCCTTACTATGACCCAAGACCCTATACATTTTGACCTCTCCCCATGACTCTTTGCTTCCACCACATTTACTGATCTTTGTATACCCTGCAAAGGTTGTACAAAGTATGCAAAGATTGTACAAAGGTTGTACAAAGTTGTGCAAAGGTTGTACAAATATGGTGTTCACTCAGCACCTCTGCATTTGCAGTTTCCTCTGCCTAGAATGCTCTTCCCCTAGGTATCGAATTGGCTTGCTTTCTCACCTTCTTCAGGTCTTGGCTTATATGTCATGTCAGGTGAAGCCTCCCCTTCTCTCCTTGAATCACACTCTTGAGCCCCTCCTATATTCTACAGAAGTCTTAGAGTATACCATTTTATTTCCATATCAACATGCATTTGTACATCTTGTCTCTCACCACTAGAATGTGTGCTTCATGAAGACAGAAAATTTTGTCTATGCTACAGGAGAGGCTGGCACACAGTAGTCATTCATGAAATGTTGGTTAAATGAAAGATAGTTATATTTGAGGTGCTTGTGTGATATCCACTAAGAGATGCTCAATAGAGACTTGAATATACAGGTGTAGAGCTTAGAAGAGAATCTGAAGCTAGAGTTACAGGTTTGAGATTCTTTAGAATATAGGATTGAGATAGCATTTCCTGGAATAATGAGAAGAGGAAAGAGCGCAGGATGGAACCCTGGAGAACAGTTACATGTGAGGGATGAGTGACGAAGAGTGGCTTAGGAAGTGATCCCAGAGCCCTGAGCTGGACCTGGAAAGAAACAAGCCTCTGAAACCAAGAGAGAGCATTTTCAAGGAGGGGGGTTGGCAGTGTTGGAGGCTGCAGAGAAGGTAAGATGAGAACATAAAACCAAAAGCCAAAACAGTTAGTAATATCATATTCAAAGCTCAGGATTGAAACCATCCTACATTCTGATCTGAAGGTTTTTAAGTGTTGAATGTTGAGTATGAAAGATGTCTACAATAAAACTTGTTGTAACTTGGAGTACTAATGCAATTTAATGAAGTATCTTATAACTCACATATCTAACTTTATTTGGAAATTAGTTTGATCATTGTGGTGAAAGGCACCTTGGACTTGAACCATGCATGTTTAACTTACGATCTAGAGTTCATGGGTGGCATCATTTAAGTCAAATTACCTTGAAGGTGATAATTGACATTAACAAACACTTGTTGATAAGAGTTGAATTTTTTTTTTCTAATCTCATTTGTACTATTTTACTGAAGTTATGGAGGAATGTGATAGTGATATGTTACAAAAATATTGCTGTGTGAAATTTCAGATAACTAATGAGATTGTGCGACAGATGATGGAAATGGAAGGAATGTACAGCTTGGACAAGCCTGGAGACTTCACTACTATTGTTGATGTGCAGCTCATAGCAGCAATGATCCACCCTGGAGGTGGTCGAAATGATATTCCACAGCGTTTAAAAAGACAGTTTACTGTGTTTAATTGTACATTGCCTTCAAATGCTTCAATAGACAAAATTTTTGGTATGAATATTCTTAGTGTTTCTTTTATTGCATTATGTAATGGACATAAACCACAGAAAGTGTCATTTAAGAGACAAAAAGGCTCTGTCTAAAGTGGGGTATGTGAAATGGAGAGCTAAATACCAGGAAAGAGGGACTCAATACTAAGATGACTTATGCTTATAGCCTATTCTCAGACTCAGAGATATTTAGAAATAGGCTTGTTGGAAGTTAACATTAGACGTAAAGAAACCTTTGTGTTTTGGGTTTCAGGACATGGTTAATCAGAGAAATTTGGGCTAATAAATGACAGCACAAAGATCACAGATTAACAATATGTTATACAAAGTCAAATGTAGCATTTCAATATGTTAATGAAAATGAGATTCTTGACAGCAAATGTGACATCAAATCACATAAATTGTACCATCAAAACTTATGTGTAGGTCAGGCCATGCCTATAATCTTAGCATTTTGAAAGACCAAGGTGGGAGGATTGCTGGAGGCCAGGAATTCAAGACCAGCCTGGGCACATAGCGAGACTCCATTTCTAAAAAAAGTTTAAAATATTAGCTAGGTGTGGTGGCCCATGTCTGTAGTCCTAGCTACATGGGAGGCTGAGGCCACAGGATTGCTTGAGCCTAGGAGGTTGAGGCTGCAGTGAGCTATGATCGCATCACTGCATTTGAGCCTGGGTAACAGAGTAAGATCATGTCTAAAAAAACAAAAAACAAACCCCCAGTCCCCCCCAAAACCTCTTACATACACGAGAAACAGACTCGCTCATATAAGAACATTAATTATTTTGTATGGCAAGTACTGTAGTCAGAAGGGAAAGGGCAGACTTTTAATCAGTAGTTCCAGGATACATAGTAATTCTTATATGAAAATAATTGAATTTTGACATCTACTTCATGCTAAGAACAAGATCAACTACAGATGGATTCATGACCTAAATATGGAAGGCAAGGCTATAAAACATTTGGAAGGAAATACAGGGAAATAGTTGAGTGACCTCTGAGTAGGGAAGGACTTCATAAATGAGACTCAGAAAGCACAAAAATAAAGAAAAAAATATACATATTTGACTAGATTGAAATGTAAAACTTCTCTTCATTAAAAAATAACATTAAGAGGCCGGGCGTGGTGGCTCATGCCTGTAATCCCAGCACTTTGGGAGGCCAAGGTGGGCGGATCGCGAGGTCAGGAGATCGAGACCATCCTGGCTAACACGGTGAAATCCTGTCTCTACTAAAAAATACAAAAAATTAGCGAGGTGTGGTGGCGAGTGCCTGTAGTCCCAGCTACTTGGGAGGCTGAGGCAGGAGAAGGGCATGAACCCAGGAGGCGGAGCTTGCAGTGAGCTGAGATCTTGCCACTTCACTCCAGCCTGGGCGACAGAGTGAGACTCTTGTCTCAAAGAAAAAAAACAAAACAAACAAACAACCATTAAGAGAGTGAAAAGACAAGCCTCAAAATGGAAGAAAAAATTTTAATACATATAACATTGTATTCTGAATATTTAGAGAAATCCTATAAATCAGACAAGAAAAGTGAACAACTGGATATAAAAATGGGCAAACAACTAAGGCACTTTAAAAAGAGTAAGCTAAATGGCCAATAAACAAAGTAAAGATGGTAAACATCATTAGTATTCAGGAAAATACAAATGAGAAACACCAAGCAATACCGTTTCATACCCACTAGATTTGCAAAAAAAAAAAAAAAAAAAATTCTGACAAAATAAGCATTAGTGAGAACGTGAAGCAACTAAGACTCTCTTTGCCTGCTGGCCGGAGTGTCAATTGCTACAAACGCTTTGGATAACAATTTGGCATCACTGCTGGTAAACAGGGCATGTGCCCATCCCTAGCAGTTCCACTTCTAGGTTTATACCAAATTATCATTTTTTCCTTTATGGTTTGGGTTTTCTGAGTCTCAAGAAGTCCTTTCCTATCCAGACATCATACAGGTATTCTCTTATGCTTTCTTCCAGACATTGTATAGTTTTGCCTTCCATATCTGGGGCCTCAATCCATCTGTAGTTGATTTTGCACATGCATGCCACAGACTTACACAAAAATGCTCATAGTGCAGTGTGCACGATGGCAAAAATGTGAAATAATCCAGATATTTATCACTAGTAAAACTGGATAAATACATCCTGTCACAGGCACACAGTGGCCTGCTGTGCAGCAGTGAAAATGAATGAATATAGCTACATGCTTCACCATGGATGAAGCCCAGAAATACAATGCCGAATGAAAGAAGCAAATCACAGGAAAAAATACAATTCCTTTAAACTGAATTTCAAAAGTTTTTTTTTTTTTAACAAGTTCAAAAGTTCAAAAACCTAAGTGGTGAAGCTATAAAGAAAAGCAAGTTACTGATTATATTAAAGAGAAGTGGCGACCTCTGGAGGAAGGGAGGAGTTGTGAACAAGGATGAATGTACAGGGGCTTCTAATGCGCTGGGCAAGGCTGTAGTTATCAATCTAGTGGTCTGTACATGAGGGTTTGTTATTTGTTAAGCTATTTGACATACTCTTTGGTATGACTGACACATTTAAACAAATATGGAAAACAAACCAACCAGAAGCTGAGCCTCAGAGAAGTGAAATAACTGCTCAATCAAGGCCTTTTAGCTAGTGCTTGGCAGAGGGGTAGTGCTAATCCCCATCTCATGCTTCTTGTAACACAAATGTCCCACAGGAAGGTGGAAATCTAGAATACAGGATTTCAGGAAGCAAACGGGCCTTACAGGCACTTAGCACAACCAACCACAAGCAACCGTGATTTGGAGGAAAATTTCATGTTTCCCCAGGGCAATTCTTCAGTCAGTGTGAACAAACTCCAGTTTCTTTAGTCTCCACTCTTCATCAACCTGTTCTGCATCTCTGAGCAGATATTCATATTCATATTCCTCTGAAAATACCATGCTCAGAACTGAACGCACTATGCGGTGTGTAGTCTCACTGGAGTGAAGCAGAGTAAATCTTTCTTCAATCTAAATCAAAGACATTCTGAGACTTTGAGAACAGTCTCTAAACCTACACCCCAGTCTTTCTGAGAGTGATGATGACAGTCAGACCATCACTGTGCTGGGTGTTCCCTAGGAATGTTGCATGTCTAGCCCAGGCCAGAGTGGTGACTGACTGTAAGCTGGAAAAAGTGGTCCTGATTCCAGTTCTGCCAATACCAATCCATGTGACCTTGAACAATCGGCTTCACCCGTCTGGGCCTGGTCTCCTTCTCTGTAAGATGAGGGAGTAGTCTCTAAGCTCACATATGCTTCAGGGCGAATGCTGATGTACAGACTGTAGGGCCAGATTGCTTGGATTCACATCCCATATTTGTCTGCATGCAAGCTGTGTAACTTTGAGCAAGTTCCTAAGCTCATATTAAAATGGGACTAGTAATAATAATACCTACCTTGTATTTTTTTCTTGTAGGGTGCTGGGTGGGGGATTAAATGAGTCAATACATATAAAACACTTATCACTGCATACTAAGCTTGGCTGAATCCACTACTGACTCCCAGTCTTAGCTGATCCCTTGAGAGAAATTCTGAACAACACCCAGCTTAGTCAGCTTTGTAATGATTTGTTCACTGGGATAAACATATACTTTGAAATCTTTTGGTAAGCTTATACCTTCAATCTTGCTTATCTTTCAGGAATTATTGGATGTGGATACTTTGATCCTTGTAGAAGTTTCAAGCCTCAAATATGTGAGATGATTGTGAATTTAGTCTCAGTGGGCAGAGTGCTGTGGCAATGGACTAAGGTACAGAATGGTTTGTTGTCAATAATTTTTAAAATGGCAACTGTTATTCAGCCCTAGTTCTCACCTCATGGCTCATTAAGTTATCATAATATCATATATAGTGGTGTTTTTTAGAAAAGACAAATTACGTGCTCAAATAGGTTTATGACACCTTTTCCTTCCAGGGAGCAAAAGATCTGACTAAATGATGCTTTCCATATGTATGAGATGTTACTGTAAACCAGACATGACATCCAAGACAAAGTAGAATTTTGCTGAAATGAGAACACTGCATTTCCACTTGTTACTCTGATTTGTAAATCTTTATTTGTATTATCTGTCTCCCTCCACCAAACTATGGCAGACACTCAAATGCCTATTGACTGACTTAATACATGATTTCCAGATATTCTCAGCCAACTAGGACTTAAAGTCTAACTTGTGTGTTTCTCTGAGCTGGAGCATGAGTTAGTAAATGGATGGAAGTGTTCTTAACAAAAATTGGCTAGATTTGCATACACAAGTCAGTGTCCTAAGTAAAGCTCAGCAAACCTGCAGCTGTCCGCAGATGACTTAAGGCAGTACTCATGAAAAGGCAATTAAGTGTAGGTATGAGATAAAAATGAGGTTGATATATTTGACAAAAAGTCATGAAGGAGATAAGGATTAGTTGTCATAATTCACTACACATCCATTAGGCCGATTACACACGTGTGGGCAGGCACTTGTCTCCTGGGAAACCTGGAGTGTGCCAGCCTGTCAGATTCCTGGGTAGACTGGGGATTTCTAGATACGGAATTATCAGAAGAGGAATTTGGGGGTTTCTTTTTTTTTTTTTTTTTTTTTTGAGATGGAGTCTCACTCTGTCGCCCAGACTGGAGTGCAGTGGCCGGATCTCAGCTCACTGCAAGCTCCGCCTCCCGGGTTCACGCCATTCTCCTGCCTCAGCCTCCTGAGTAGCTGGGACTACAGGCGCCCGCCACCTCGCCCGGCTAGTTTTTTGTATTTTTTAGTAGAGACGGGGTTTCACCGTGTTAGCCAGGATGGTCTCGATCTCCTGACCTCGTGATCCGCCCATCTCGGCCTCCCAAAGTGCTGGGATTACAGGCTTGAGCCACCGCGCCCGGCGGGGTTTTCTTATGAGATGCTCTTCCACGCAGCCACCTTCCGTGATGGGGGTGGAGCCCTGTTCCTTGCCAACACAGGGCCTTTACATGTGCCATTGTACCCCTTTTAAAGAAACTTGAAAATAAGTGGCAAGGACTGAGCATCTGAGATAGTTTTCTGTGGTAAGATACATGTGGTTTCCAACAGGACTATTGCTCAATTTACTGTGCTTATATACGTAGTTCTCTGAAAAGCTTTGCCTTTCCAGGTGTCTTCCATCTTCCAGTTTCTTTTGTTATTTGGATGTTTCCTGGATCCATGTCCTCAGTGTCTTTTTTTAAATCTATTTAATCCATTCTACACAAGCTTTCATTCCCACTGTTCACGTCAAAATCACCAAAGACCTCGATCTTGCCACATCTCAAGGTTAATTTTCCTGTCCCTCTTACTTGACTTTTTAGCAGCATTTGACCTAAATGATCCCTCTAGATATTTTCTTCACTTGGCTTCAGAGGGTCCCCATATTCTTGGTTTTCTTCCTAGTGCACTGGCTACCTCATTTAAAGTCCCCCTTCTTCTTTCCCTCCTCTAAACACTGAAATGCACCTGGTCTCGATGCTGGGCCCTCTTCTCTATCTACATTCTTTCCCTAGGTGGCCTCATCCAGCTTCGAGGCTTTAAACATCATCCCTGTGCTGATGACTTCAAAATGGATATCTCCATCCCAGGCCTCTCTGCCTGGCTCCAGGCCAATTTCTAACTGCTTAACAGACATCAGTGTTTGATGTCTGATACTCATCTCAAAGTTACCATGTCCAAACAGAACTCTTAAGTGTCCTTCAATATGATCCTCCCTCAAACTTCTGCATCTCAGTAGCAGCACCAGTTATCCTCCTTCTTAGGTTAAAATTACTGGGCTCCATCCTTGATTTATGTCTTCCTCATGGCCTACATCCAGTCCATCAGCGAATATCAGTGACCTCCCCTTCAAAATCTACCCCAAAGCCGAGCCCTCCTCGCCATACTCCCATGACCACCCTGATAAGTGCTCCCATCACTTGTCCCCTGGACCATGCAGTAACTTCCTAACCAATCTCCTTGCTTTCTTCTTGCTCTCTTGGAGTCTGTTCTTTTCACAGTCCTAGATGATATTTTTAAAAAAGTAAACCAGAAATCTTTACTCCTTCTTAAAACCACCAGTAGACTCCCAGTTCCACTTATAATGTCAGCAGACTGCAGTTACTTCCCTTGCCTGCCATCATCCTGCTCCAGCTGAGTGGCCCTGCTCACCATTCCTTGAGCACCCCAGGTTTATTGCACTGCTGGGTCACCATACTTTGGCTCATTCTCATCACTCTTACCTTCAGAGGGACTGTCTCCGGTCGTCCTCTGAAGTGACTGCCCTTGTCCCTATCCTACTCATTATCTGTCTCCTGGCCCTGATTTTTTTTTTTTAAAACCATGGCTTCTATCATTACTTGCTTATTTACATATATATTTGTTCCCTGTTCATTCTCAGGCTCCCCAACCACAGAATAAAAGCCCGCTTGATGACAGCAGAGTTAGCTGTCCTCTGTTTACCAGTGTGTCTTCTTAAGAACCAGGGAGGTGCTCAGTCATTGAAAAATGAATGCATCTTCCTCTTCTACCCACCTCTACATAAGCAGCCTTCTTTGTGTCTTTTCTTCCAATCTCCCATCTTCACAAAGCACTCTTTTAGTCCATTCATGCCTTGTCTATCAGCCCACCTTTATGTTACTTTATATAGTTTTAAGGCAGAAGCAGTTGAGAAACGAAAGAAGGTGATGAAAAGTAGATGGAAATATTAGAAGAGAAGGAAAGAAGCAAGTTAACAAATAGTGAGAAGAAGAAGGAAAGAAAGGAATTTTGTTTTACAGATTCTCTTTAATGACTGCCTCAGTTACCAATGGCTGCCATCATGGCTGGAGTGTTGTATTATAAAAAAAGCAATATTCACATAACCTTACCCTTTGGGTATTTTTGCATATTTATAATATAACTATATGTTTTATATTTTAGTGAGTGGGATGAACATTTTAGCTTGCAATGGAACTGAGCACAGAGGGAAGTTGATAGGCAATTGATAAAATACGCTTCTTTTCGTTTCGTCTCCCCATGCTACTTGCTGCTTTAACTAGCACTGGGAATTAGCCTGTAAAAATTACAAACTCAATAGGGTAATTTTTCAGTATAGAAAGGGCTTAATTTATGAACAGATGCTAAAGAAAGCATCTGCTTTGCTGAAATAGGTGTATGGGGAGTTTGTATCACCAGAATTATCATTATTTTCACTTTCAAAAATGATGCTAATGATATCAATTATGATCTTTATACATGACCATCAATGCATTCCATATCTAGAGTACCTCGAAGTTATCCCTTAATGGGTATCTCTCTGGGTAAGAATGCGGTATTGTTACAGCTTTGCCTTTTTGTATTCTAGAAGTTGGTAGAAATAGTAAATTAGCATAGAATACATACTCTGTGCTCAAACAGAAAAAACATCTATTACTATACGCATAGCTACATGTCAGACTTGCCTGTCCACTTATTATGGATATACAGATATACAAAGACTGTTGACTGAGTTTGGATCCATATAGTAAAATCCAGGTTATGATATGCAGATATGTTTATAGAAATCCTAACACATGAAGGACCCTAATCAAAGCAATTTATAGAAGATAGCCATTATTAACTTTAAAAGTGAACATTGTTCTTACCTGCATGACAACCAATTCACGTTCAGTTTTTTGTTATGACGTATTTCCACATGTACACTACCAATGATTAGACATGATTATTCCCACAATTCATATAGTTCTTAAGAACTCGGGGGAAGTGACTCGCTCAAAGCCAACTGATGGTGGTAGAACAAGGTCTTGGAATCTGCATCCAGTGCATTGGTCTTGAATCCATCCTATCCAAGAACTTATGGTCTTTTAAATCCTAAGTTGGTTTATTTATGATTTTCTTTCTGTCCGTGTTGTCACAAAATATGAACTTAATCTTGATTTATTTACTCAGCAGATTTTATCTAAAATAGGATTTGTGAGACAGTTCTAAAAATAATTCTACTTTTAGTTGTATCTGAAAACTAATTGAGAGTATTTCATTCTTTCCTCTCTAGGTAAAGATGCTGCCAACTCCTTCTAAATTTCATTACATCTTCAATCTTCGAGATCTTTCCAGAATTTGGCAAGGAATGTTGACCATAAAAGCTGAGGAGTGCGCTTCAATCCCTACTCTCCTGTCCCTTTTCAAACATGAGTGCAACAGAGTAATAGCGGACAGGTGCGTATTGCGGCTCTTGAGTTTAAATGTATGACCTGAGAAGTTTATGCTACTTGGTTAATTTTTTTTTTTTTTTTTTTTTTTTGAGATGGAGTTTTGCTCTTGTTGCCCAGTCTGGAGTGCAATGGTGCGATCTCAGCTCACCACAACCTCTGCCTCCCGGGTTCAAGCGATTCTCCAACTTCAGCCTCCCAAGTAGCTGGGATCACAGGCATGTGCCACCATGGCTGGTTATTTATTTATTTTTTGTATTTTTAGTAGAGATGGGGTTTCTCCATGTTGGTCAGGCTGGTCTTGAACTCCTGACCTCAGGTGTTCCACCCGTCTCAGTCTCCCAAAGTGCTGGGATTACAGGCATCAGCCATCCTGCCCAGCCGGTTATTTCTCGCATTATCTACTGGGTTAAGTAGAGTAAGGAGCATTGTCATCATTTGCTGTGGGGCTTGTGAAGCATTGATGGCGTCTCTCACTTGCCCACTGCCTTAAGAGAATGCTCTGCCGATTTATTCGAGTATGACTTCAACAATACATCTTTATAAATCACCAGATCATCAGAGTTGATAACATTCGGAGGCACACTTTCATTGTATATATTTTCTACAAATTGTGAGCTCTTTGTAGGTTTTATGTGGGGAAATCTGGTTTCATCCCTTTAAAGTGAAACAATCTCATTAAAGTTAATTTCAGTCATCTTTTGGAGCCTCCATTCCCTCATCTATAAACCATGGATGATAATGCCAGTTTCACAAAGTTGTAAAGTGTCTACCTTGACTCACACAAGGGTGATACTTGTCAAATGTTACCCCCCTTTGTCCTCTCTTCCCTCTGTGATACTGTCAATCTGAAAAGGTCCTTTGTGCACCGAATCCACCAACCCAGAAAGAGGACGCTTGTCCACTACCGACCATCACTTCTGCACCCCATCACAAGTTTTAGGGACCTTTGATCTCACCTAAGTGATTCATCTATATTTTCTATAAGTGGTGCAGTTAATGTTATAACTTTCTTGGATGGGATTATGCCCTTCTTATCAAAAGGCAGAACATGTTGTTTCCCTGTCCTGAATTGAGAAGGTCTAGGGTGGGACTGAGAAGAGGCAAAGGGACATGTTCAGTTAGAAAAGATGCTTTCATATTTCACATTCTTACTACTACATTTTCCTTTCAGATTTGTAACTCCTGAAGATGAGCAGTGGTTTAACACACATCTTATTCATGCAGTTGAAGAAAATATTGGCTCTGATGCAGCGTCGTGCATTCTTCCTGAACCATACTTTGTGGATTTTCTCCGTGAGATGCCGGAACCAACTGGCGATGAACCTGAAGACACTGTGTTTGAAGTACCCAAAATATATGAATTGGTATTTATTTTCATCTCTTTAAAGAGGTTTTCAGATCGCTCACCTAACTAGATCTTTCTTTCTGCACCAGAGTCCCACCATGGAGTTGCTATAATTCCAGCACTTTGGGAGGGTGAGGTGGGAGGATTGCTTGAGCCCAGGAGTTTGAGAGCAGCCTGGGCAACACAGTGAGACCCTGTTTCTACAAAAAATAAGAAAAATTAGCTGGCTGTGGTGGCATGTTCCTGTACTCCCAATTACTCAGCAGGTGGAGGTGGAAGGATTACTTGAGCCCAGGAGTTCGAGATTGCAATGAGCTGTGATTGTGTCACTGCACTGTAGCCTGGGTGACAGAATGAGACCCTGTCTCAAAAACAGAGAGAGAGCGCGAGTTCAGTAAGACGACCAAGCATTTATAAATATGAAATAACTATACTCTATACCTATACCAACAGTTGGCAAATTATAGTTTCTGGGCCAGATCCAGCCAGCCCACTGCCTGTTTAATTTTATTAGACTTACTAGCTAAGAAGGATATTTATTTATTTATTTATTTATTTTTGAGATGGAATCTCTCTCTGTCACCCAGGCTGGAGCGCAGTGGCATGAACTCGGCTCACTGCAACCTCCGCCTTCTGGGTTCAAGCAATTCTTCTGCCTCAACCTCCCAAGTAGCTGGAATTACAAGTGCTCTCCACCATGCCCGGCTAATTTTTTGTATTTTTAGTACAGACGAGGTTTCACCATGTTGGTCCTGTGATTACAGGTGCCCACTACCATGCCCGGCTACTTTGTTGTATTGTTAGTAGAGATGAGGTTTTACCATGTTGGTCAGGCTGGTTTCAAACTCCTGACCTCAAGTGATCCACCCATCTTGGCCTCCCAAAGTTCTGGAATGACAGGTGTGAGTCACCGTCCCCAGCTGATTTTTCATTTTTAAATAGTTACCAAAAAATAAAAAATCAAAAAAAGAACAATATTGTGTGACATGTAAAAATTATATAGAATTCACATTTCAGTGTTCATAAATAAGGTTTCATTGAAACACCCATTGGTTTAAATATTGGCCATAGCTGCTTTTGCACTACAATGGCAGGGGTGAGTAGAGACTGAATGGGCCATAAAGCCTAAAATATTTACTATCTTGCCCTTTACAGAAAAAATTTACCAACACTTGCCAACAATCACAAGATAGACAATATAAAAGTATTTCATTTAAAGTCAGGAAACAACAGATGCTGGAGAGGATGTGGAGAAATAGGAACGCTTTTACACTGGTGGGACTGTAAACTAGTTCAACCATTGTGGAAGACAGTGTGGTGATTCCTCAAGGATCTAGAACTAGAAATACCATTTGACCCAGCCATCCCATTGCTGGGCATATACCCAAAGGATTGTAAATCATGCTGCTATAAAGACACATGCACATGTATGTTTATTGCGGCACTATTCACAATAGCAAAGACTTGGAACCAACCCAGATGTCCATCAATGACAGATTGGATTAAGAAAATGTGGCACATATACACCATGGAATACTATGCAGCCATTAAAAAGGATGAGTTTGTGTCCTTTGTAGGGACATGGATGCAGCTGGAAACCATCATTCTGAGCAAACTATTGCAAGAACAGAAAACCAAACACCACGTGTTCTCACTCATAGTTGGGAACTGAACAATGAGAACACTTGGACACAGGAAGGGGAACATCACACACTGGGGCCTGTTGTGGGGTGCAAGGGAGGGAGGAGGGATAGTATTAGGAGATATATCTAATGTAAATGACGAGTTAATGGGTGCAGCACACCAACATGGCACATGTATAGGTATGTAACAAACCTGCATGTTGTGCACATGTACCCTAGAACTTAAAGTATAATAAAAAATAAATAAATAAATAAATAATTTCATTTAACAGCAACAAAAACATGTAGGAATTAACATGACAAAACTTTAGTTAAACAGCGACTTGCCATTCTTTCTAAATTAATATATAGGTTTAATGAAATTTGAAACAAGATTTCAAAGGGACTTTAAAAACAGAGTTAAATAACAAAGAAATCCTAAAGCGTATGTAGAGCCGGGCGAGGTGGTTTATGCCTGTAATACCCGCGACTTGGGGAAGCTGAAGTGGAAGGATCCAAAGAGCCAAGGAAGTGGAGGCTGCAGTGAGCTATGAGTGGGCCACTGCACTCCAGCCTGGGTGACACAGTACCTTGACTCTAAAAATAAAAATAAAGTGTATGTAGATCAAAGAAGTAGATGGGGAGGAACAATTTGCAAAACAAAGAAAGTGGGTGTGGATTTAATTCAGAACAATGAAGACTTGTGGATTTGGCTCCGTAAATAATGTAAAACTTTTTTATATTTTTGAAAGCTGCAAACAATATTAAAAAGTAAATAAAAACTAAGAAAAATGTTTCCTATATTAATGTGTGACATGGATAGGAGTTGGTAGGGAAAGGTCAGAAATGATTTTGCACTAGAAACCAACTAATACAGTTAAGTTTCAGGCCTTAGAAAATGGAAATAACTAAAAGTAGACTAATATGTGAGAAACCTCTGGCAATCCATAAAGTTTAAAAAAGATACATATATTTTAAAATTACTTTTGAGTGTCTTTACAATTGCTGCTTTAATACATATTTGGATCTTAAATACTATTTTTTTCTCTTTCTCCCCACCCATAGGTGCCATCCTTTGACTTTCTGGCTGAAAAACTCCAGTTTTACCAGAGACAGTTCAATGAAATCATTAGAGGAACATCTCTTGATCTGGTGTTTTTTAAAGATGCAATGACTCATCTTATTAAGGTCCTAACTATTGCCTATTTACTGATGTAAATAGATCATGTAAAAGCTTACTATATTTCATAGATAATTTTTTTTGAGAGAATAACTATATACTGTCAGGTGTCATATAGAAGACTGTGCATAGGTTGGGTCAGTTCACCATCCCGGAAGACAAAGGCTTAATAGGAAACCCTTTATTTGAATCCATCTACATGGCAGCAAATGTCTTTCAAGGGCAAATATGGTTTTCTCTTCAGAGTTTTTGGCACACTGAGTCAACAAGAAAGTATGGAGAACCTTTAGAAAGTGTGGAGAACCCTGTGAAAAAATATACTTCCCTCAAATTCTATTTTCGATATTATGGGAATTCTGTTCCCCATGGAGGAAAAGATGTTGCTTTGAGAAGTGTCAATGTTATGACTGATTTACAGATGATGGGACAGGGGTAAGGTTGATATACAGGACCGGTGAGAGAATAGAAGCCAGTTAGAGGTAACACCAAAAAGGGGTGTTTTCACACTAATCTATTCAACAAGTAATTGTTGAGCATTCACTGCAGCTAGGTCTTGGGGTTCTGAGATTCTATTCTGAGTGCAAAGCCATAAGTGGTTAATATATTTTAAAATATGCTGATAGAATTTACACATACCAGGGTGTCATTGTTGATCCGCCAACTGTAAAACTTGTATTTTTAAAAAATTGTTGTTTAGCGGTAATAGGGAATTTAGTGATCCACCTAGACTTTCTCTCTAGTCGGTGACAATACTATAAAAGACAGTTTTTTAGCAATGCCTTCAATTGACCTGCATAAGATTGGAGCCACAATTTGAGTCTTATCTTCACTGAGGAAATCAACCATAGACAAGCAACACAAGATGAAAGGCTGTCTCTCCAAGTTGGCTCCTAGAAACATCCTCCTACCCCACTGTAAATAGAATTGTGGTATTTAAAAACAATTGTTGGCAGAGATATGAGAGAGTTGAGTTAGGTGTCTACATGATTCATTGTCGAGTTAGGTGTCTACATGATTCAGTGTGTTAGGCTGATGAATAAAAAAAAAAAATTCTAAACATTTCTTATATCTTCTGCAGATTGGGAAAAGCCGCTCCACTATCCATTGGGTCTAAAACTAATAAAACTGTACATACATGCACTCACATGAACACACACACAGAATAGTTTTAAAATAGAAGGGAGTAAATCCAGTTTGTTCTGTTCTTCATGATGTAAATATAGATGGTCAAGGAAAGATTCAAGCTGAACAAATCAATATTAAACCTTAATTTAAAAAATTCTGACATAGACCATTAACAAGGAAAAAGTCTAATATCGTTTAGAAACATATAATCAAAACTTGGACTCATTTAGTGCAAGAAACTATAAACATCCACATCCTTTTTTCAAATAAGCACTTTTTAAATCTCAAAACAGATTTCACGAATAATTCGAACATCATGTGGAAATGCATTGCTGGTGGGTGTTGGTGGCTCCGGAAAACAAAGTCTTTCAAGATTGGCCTCTTTTATTGCTGGCTATCAAATATTCCAGATAACATTAACCAGGTAGGATGAAGTAAAACACAATATGTTTTTCTATAGTTAATTTCTCTAAGGTTAAATGTTTACTCTAGAAAAAAAGGAAGCACAACAGTTTTCTGTATTTCTTTTTAAAGTAAACTTTAAGTATTATATATATAAGGATATTTACACAAGTGTCACAGAGTAAATACACTGTAGCCTGTCTACAGATGAAGAAATAAAACAGTACTCGTACCCCAGAAGTGCCCCCTTGTTACGCTGCAGTCATTACCCTCCCAAAGGAAACAATATTCAAAGAGTAAGCCCATTGATTAGTCTTGCCTAGTTTTGAATTTTGTATCAATGGAATCATACAGGATTTGCTCTTTGCATCCCATTTCTATTATTGTGTTGTTTGTGAGAGTCATCCATGATGCTACATGTAGCAGGAGTTGTTAATTCTTTTTGCTGCATGATCTTCCACTTAATCAGATACTACCACAATCTATTTATCCATTGTACTCTTGATAAACATTTGGTTTGGGCAAATAGAGCTACTGTAAATATTCTTGTACGTGTCTGAGTATACACCTGAAGTTAAAATTGCTGAATGTAGGGTATCTGTATATTTAGCTTTAGTTGATCTGCGTAGTAGTTTTCCCATGTGGTTGTACCAATTTACACTTCCACCAACATGCCATGAGAGTTTCAGTTGCTCCACATCCTTGTCCCCACTTGGCATTGTGTGTCTTTTTCATTTTAGCAATTCTTTTTTTTTTTTTTTTTGAGATGGAGTCTTGCTCAGTCGCCCAGGCTGGAGTGCAATGGCGTGATCTCGGCTCACTGCAACCTCCACCTCCCAGGTTCAAGCGATTGTCCTGCCTCAGCTCCCGAGTGCGCCACCATGCCCAGCCAATTTTTGTACTTTTAGTAGAGATGGGGTTTCACCATGTTGGCCAGGTTTCTCTTGAACTCCTGACCTCAAGTGATCGACCCGCCTCAGCCTCCCAAAATTACAGGCGTGAGCCACCACTCCTGGCCAATTTTGGCAATTCTGTGTGCGGAGTGGTAGCTCACTGTGGTTTTGGTTTGCATTTCCCAGATGGCTAATGATGTTGAGCACCTTTTCATCTCTCACTGACCATTTGGATAGGCTCTTTTGTGAATTATAAAAGCCCTTTCTCCATTTGGTTTTTCAGTTTGGTTGCGATTCTTTCTTACTGACTGTTAGGAATTCTATATGTGTTTTGGATATAAAGGGTGTATATTGCAAGTATCTTCTCTCAGTTATTGATTTGCCTTTTCATTCTCTTAGCGGATCTTAATTTTAATGAAATATCCTTTTTTTTTTCTATTTAGTGCTCTTTTGTATTATATTTTAAAATCTTTGTTTACCCTAAGGGCACATAGATATTTTCCTATGATTTTCTTAACATTTACACATAAAATTTACTACTTTCACATTTAGTTCTATAACCGACCTAGAATTCATTTTCTTATAATATCTGATGTAGGAGTTGTGATTATTATTTTCAATATTGATAGCCAGTTGATCCAGCTCCATTTATTAAAAAGGTCATCTTTTCCCTGCTACATCACAGTGTCATTTTTTTGTCTTAAGTCGTCTAATCATATACGTGACTATATAGTCTCCTCTATTGGTTTCCTTATCTATCTTTGCATCATTGCCCACTGTATTAATTGCTGTAGCTTCTTTAATATATATATTTACATTTAACATATGTATATTTGGTAGTGTCAGATCTCTAACTTTGTTGTTGTTCTTCAAAATGTCTTGTCCATTTGACTTTTTATTTCCATATAAAATTTAGATCACTTTGCCAATTTATAAACAAACACACAAATCATTCTGCTGCCAAACAATGAAAAATTGAACAAAATGCAATTTCTGAGTATTTTAAAAACATAAAACATCAAATAAGTAGATATTAATTTAATTTTACTTCAAAAATTAAATTAGTTGTCAACATTTAAAAATCGGGAGATTTCATATTTTAGAAAAGCGTATTTCTGACTTTTTTTTTGAAATAATTGGAAGATCTGGCAACCTAGGGCCTACACACCCAGGTAGCAGAGCTCAGTAGCAGCTGCCTCCTTGGATGGGACATACAATCCTGCAATCCACAGACCCCACCAGCACTGCTTCACTCACTGGGATTTATCTGTCTGATTCCTGTAGGCATCTAAATTTGTGATCCTGAGATAGGTGGTATTGCACTTATTATAGTTAGGAATGACAGAGGCTTAAATTAAGGCAAATTTATTCACTATATTTTCTTAATTTCTGTATTCTTGATACCCTGGCATCTGAGACCCTGGTGACTGGGGAGAGACTGACCCTTCCAGGGTAACCAATTCTTAGAGATTCAAACAGCTCCTCCAGAAGAGTACCTTTCATATGCAAACCAACCAATCCAGAGTCCTTACTCCCAACCACCACCTCTATCTGGTGGGTGTGTAGTGGCATCTCACGGTGGATTAGGATATTCCTCTGCCCTAATCACCCCAGGGCAACATACCAGTCAACAAGGGAGCGCTCCTATGCCCCAGAGGCTGCTGAAATTATTCAAACTAGCCGATCCTAATTCTGCTTGCCTGCCTTGCCTTTCTCATGGAAACCACAATAAAGCCTCTTGCCTGTGATTTCCCATCATTCCTTGTGCCTCCTGATTGACTCTGGTGTTTCCCCATGTCACCCTACCTAGCATGTCAAGCCCCCTCCTGTTTCTAGGGTTCCTTGAGTATAAACATCTTCCTTCATGACAGTCGTTCCTGTGTCTTTGTGTCTTACCACATTTGATTACAACAAATTCTGGATACATTTTATAACAGCAGATAAAGTGGGAATAGAGAGGAAGACTCAGCAGGGACAGTTTAAAGTATGCAGGATTAATAGGACTTAATAACTGACCCAATATGCAGGAAGAGGAGGAAAGAACAGGAAGGCCAGCATGACACTCTTGAGTTCTCTAGTGGTACAGTTGTGTGCCCCATAAGGACATTTTGGCCAACAGCAGACAATGTATATGGTGGTGGTCACATGAGATTGTAATGGAGCTACCCTATACAGGAGTAGTATTTTAAAAATCTTTTATACTGTATTCTTACTGTACCTTTTCTATGTTTAGGTAGATACACAAATATGGACCATTGCATTAGAATTGCCTACAGTATTCAGTGCAATAACGTGTTGTTCAGGTTTGTAGCTTAGGAGCAATAGGCCATTCTTATAGCCTAGGTGTGTGTAGGTATACTCTGTGCTGTTCTGTATCAGTCAGTTTTTGCACTGTTATGAATACCTGAGACTGTGTAATTTATTTAAAAACAGGTTTGTTTTGGTTCAAGGTTCTGCAGGCTGAACAGGAAGTGTGGTGCTGGCACCTGCTTCTGGTGAGGGTCTCAGGAAGCTTCCAATCATGGCGGGAGGCAAAAGGGCAGCAAGTGGTCGTATCATGATAGCTGGTGTGAGAGAGTCAGGGGGCAGGCCCCAGACTCCTTTAAACAACCAGATCTTATATGAACTCAGAGTTAGAACTCACTCATTACCAAGGGGATGGTGCTAAGCCACTCATGAGGGATCTGCCTCCATGACCCAAACACCTTCTACCAAGCCCCACCTCCAACATTGGGGGTTACATTTCAACACGAGATTTGGAGGGGACAAACATCCAAACTGTATTATGTTCCCACAATTACAATGTTTTCTTTTTGTTTGTTTGTTTGTTTTTTGAGAAGGAGTCTCACTCTGTCACACAGGCTGGAGTGCAGTGGTGCGATCTCTGCTCACTGCAGTCTCCACCTCCCAGGTTCAAGCAGTTATCTGCCTCAGCCTCCTGAGTAGCTGGGATTACAGGTGCCCACCACCACGCCTGGCTAATTTTTGTATTTTTAGTAGAGACAGGGCTTCACCAGACTGGTCAGGCTGGTCTTGAACTCCTGACCTTGTGATCCACCCGCCTCAGCCTCCCAAAGTGCTGGGATTACAGGCGTGAGCCACCACGCCCGGCCACAGTGACAATATTTCTTAAGGATGCATCTAGCAGAATGTATCCCCATTGTTAAGCAATGCATGACTGTACTCACCACACTGCATTAAAAAAAAAGTGCTTGTTCACATACATTTCTGTCTCCTTCACTAAGCTGTAAGCTCCCTGAGAATGGACCACTGTAATATTTATCTTTTTTATTTTCATTATTAAATGCTTAGTTTTAACCAATTCTGTAAAAGGATGTGTTGAATAAATAAAAAATGACCAGCTTTGAAGGGTAAAGTGACAATTTAGTTCAGTACATTTGAGTCTGAGGTGTTGCAGAACAGTTTCCATAGATAATAAGACTCATGGATGTGGAGTTCAGGAGAGGATTCTGGTTCTTGCAATAGGAATATAGACATCTCAGTAGAGGGAACCCTTTTATGGTCATGGGGAGTATGAATAGGGTGCATCATGGAAAGAAAAGATGGCTGTGGAAAGAACTCCAGGGTCTCCCAACATAGAGAAAGGGAGCTTGCAATTGAGAGTGAGAAGAAGAGGCAAGACAGAGAGGAGGAAATCCAGAGTGGTTTTCAGAAACTAAGCAGGTAGATAATTAATCTGCAAATGCTGGCTGGGTGCCCTGGCTCACGTCTGTAATCCCAACACTTTTGGAGGCCAAGGCAGGCGGATCACCTGAGGTGAGGAGCTCGAGACTAGCTGGCCAACATGGTGAAACCCCATCTCTACTAAAAATACCAAAAAAATTAGCTGGGCATGGTGGCAGGCACCTGTAATCCCAGCTACTCAAGAGACTGAGGCAGGAGAATTGCTTGTACCCTGGAGGTGGAGATTGCAGTGAGCCAAGATCACGCCATTGCACTCCAGCCTGGGCAAGAAGAGTGAAACTCCGTCTCAAAAAAAAAAAAAAAAAAAAAAAAAAAAAAAAAAAAAAAAAAAAAAAATCTGAAAATGTTAAGGCATGAAAAGTGGCAGCTGATAGTCAACATGATAAAACTTTCAGTGGAGTGGATGGGCGCACAAGCCACATTGCATTAGGAAGAGAAGCAGCACAGAGAACACTTTTGGAAAACTTGAAAGAAAGAAACAAGAGAGGTCAGGATCTGGACAAGGAGTGTGTTGTGACTGTCTCTATGTATTGCAAAAGCAATACATAACAGTCAGTCTAATTCTTTAAAAAATCAGCCAAATTGACATCTTTTGACTGATCAGTTCAGAGACTGACCAGTCAGTGAGAGGATTACTCTGACAGCATCAGGCCACTAGATCTTTCTGGTTCCAGTGCTCATAGTCTTTCTGTGAAACCCATGGCCTACTCCCTATTACTTGCATTGTAACACCTCTTTCCAGTGAGGATTACCTTTTAGTCCTTGTCATTAGCTTACCCATGAGGATTTACATACAACATTTCAGATAATGTCTGCTTTCTTTTTACACATCTCGTCACCTCTGGTAGCACATACATTTAACCAGAAACAGAATAAACCAAAAAATAAAGACCAAGATCTTTTCATTCCATAATCTGTAACCATCTAACATTTCTATTATTTATCCCATATTGCATAATGCATCTTTTTCTGTGGGTTTTCTTTGTACCTAGCCACTTAATGAGCTGTGCAAATTACCACTATATACAATTTATCATTAATTTTATTCATAACTTACTGTGACTTTTTCACCAAACTAAACTCATCCAAATTTCAGATGAGTTTTAGATATTGTACATATATTTACTTGGACAAAATCTGTTGCTGAGGACAGTCAGATTGCAGGGACTAAAAGTTCATTTCTCTATTCCCGCTTACGCTTCATGGATCACTTTTGGTAAATTCCCTGATTCTCAGTTCTCAACTTAAACAAAACCTATTTGTTTTGAATGGTAATATATCACTCTCTAGCTCTAATCTCTGTATTTTCTAGCAGGCACCATTACTTAGTATCTATGGAGCAGGTACATATTATGCTCTAATAATCATGGGCTATTATTGTGTTTTGGGATAAATTATGACTATGGATTTGTTGTTGTTGTTGTTGTTGTTTGATTGTTTGTTTGTTTTGAGACAGAGTCTTGCTCTGTTGCCCAGACTGGAGTGCAGTGGCGCGATCTCAGCTCACTGACCTCTGCCTCCTGGGTTCAGGCGATTCTCCTGCCTCAGCCTCCCAAGTAGCTGGGATTACAGGCACACACCACACGCCTGGCTAATTTTTTTGTATTTTTTTAGTGGAGATGGGGTTTCACCATGTTCCGCCTCGGCCTCCCAAAGTGCTGGGATTACAGGTGTGAGCCACTGCACCCAGCCGACTATATATTTTTCAATCTAAAAATTTCTATCACTTTTCTTCTTAGGTCTTACAATGTGACTAATCTAACAGATGATTTAAAATCTTTGTACAAAATTGCTGGTGCTGATGGAAAAGGCATCACTTTCATCTTTACTGACAATGAAATAAAAGATGAGGCATTTCTAGAATACCTTAACAACTTGCTATCTTCAGGGGAGGTAAGTTTCAAAACTAACGAAAAAGCCCATGTTGTAAAATGTAAATTATATTGGAATAGTAAAAGCAGCAGCCTTTTGAAAGTGAGGCTGTTTAGTACATTTTTGATTGTAGACATGGTTAATGTATGAGATTTAGTAGATTTTCTGAAGTTCCTGTGAAATGAATGCTGCCCATCTCCAGATGCTTTGTTTAATTTTGAACATGGTTCCTTACTTGTCTCTTCAATCTTCACTTTGGTCTTATAATTTATTTTAGGAGAAGCAAAGTATCTGTCCGTCTATCTACATACTAGTGAGGAGTGTAGAATGGTTGAAAGAGTTCTGTTAGTTGTAAATGGATGTCTGCACCACCACTTCCGAAACCGCTTGTATCAGCACTTCCATGAGCCCTCACATCTTTAGTACTTTGTTAGAAAGACTCACCAGACTCAGCATATACAGGTCAAGCATCTCAAATCCAAAAATCTGGAATCCAAAATGCTCCGAAATCTGAAACTTTTTGAGCACTGATGTGATGCTCAAAGGACATGCTCATTATTGGAGCATGTTAGATTTCAGATTTTTGAATTTGGGGGTGCACAACCAGTAAGTAAAATGCAAACATTCCAAAATCTGAAAAAAATCTGAAATCTGAAACACTGTGGTCCCAAGCATTTTGAATAAGGGATGCTCAACTTGTAGTTATATTCATGGTGGAGATTTATTGCGGCAACACAGTAAGGATGCAGAGCCAGATCAGTAGAGAGGAAGACTCATCTTGTAGAGTAATTGATGTACCAGGAACATGGAATTGATGTTCCAGCTTCCTATGCTTTTGCCAAGGGGCCATATAGAACGTCCTCTCCATCCAGTATGAAGGGCAGTATCATATGCACTGTGTTTCCATTCAGGAAGCCCACTTGAGATTCGGAGTCCAGTGGGTTTTTTTAGGGTTGGTCATTAGTCACTTCCTGCCTAGCTACAACTACCAAAGTTCCAGATTCCTAGAAGGAAAGCAGATAGATGTTTACCATATGTCACAAGGTTTCTGTAAACAGTCTAGTTGGCACTGCAAAACAACCTTATCAGTTACTAATGGAGGAGACATTCCAAAAGCCAAGTTCCCTGATAACAGCCCAGGGTCAACTCTGCAAGCACACCCTTCTCAAGATTAAGCCTGCTGTGTTAACTCTTCCCTGCACCATGGTATACAGATGCTTAATGGTGCAAAAATCAGTTAAGTATTTTGGAGTCAGAGTTGATTAGACTGACTCTGAGTCGAAGTACAGAGGGCACCCCTGGACATCTTGAAGAGGTGATTGAGTGGTGGTGGAGATGGCTTTTTGGTGATAGCTACTGGAGCACAAGAAAACACAATTAGTTCTTGATTGAGCTGCTCAATAAAAAGTTGCAGTCTTGATAATCTCTGGCAAATCAGATTTGACAGTCGAGATGCTGAAAGAAAATATGAAATAAGATGACGTGCAAATTTAAAAAGGGACTGGACTTTGGTGGAGAACTCTTAAAATACAGAACACTTCCTTGTCCATTCCTTAAAGATCTCCAATTTGTTTGCACGAGATGAGATGGATGAAATCACCCAAGGTCTGATTTCAGTGATGAAGAGGGAACTGCCTCGCCATCCTCCTACCTTTGATAATTTGTATGAATACTTCATTTCAAGATCAAGGAAGAACTTACATGTTGTTCTCTGCTTTTCTCCAGTGAGTTTTTATTTTTATTTATATCTACGTAGAAAGAGTTCCTTATTTAAAGATACTTAGTTTACCTTCTCTGATTAGATAATGATCTTAGAAATTAATATTTTTACATTGAATTAAAATTAACACTTTTGTACCAATCTCCATTGACCAAATTCTCATTTCCAGTATAATTTAAAATATTCATATTATTAAAAAATATTGCATAACCTGCAATTTTCATTAGTTACCTAGAGACATGGGTTGTTTGAATTGTAAGGGACTTGGTGATGTAACCTCGTCCAGCTCCACCTCCCATGTAGACATATCAGGTTTACTAAAATGTCCTTGATGTGGGTTTGAAGGTCTCTATCTCATCGTGCTACCCAATATAGTAGCCATTAGGCATATATGGTTACTTAAGTTTTGATTAATTAGCCCCGTTTCTACTTAACTATTTGGTTTATTTTTGATACAGGGTCTTGCTCTGCTGCCTAGGCTGAAGTGCAGTGGCATGATCATGGCTCACTGCAGCGTCAACCTCCCAGGTTCAAGCCATCCTCTCACCTTAGACTCCCAAGTAGCTGGGACTGCAAACATGTGCCACCATGCCCAGTTAATTTTTGTATTTTTTGTAGAGATGGAGTTTTGCCATGTTGCCTGGGCTGGTCTGGAACTCCTGAACTCAAGGGATTCACTCGCCTGGGCCTCCCAAAGTGCTGGGATTACAGGCATGAGCCACCACACCTGGCTTTGCTCCATTCTTAGTGCTTAGTAGTCCTGTGTGGCTAATAGCTACCACACTGGAATGCATATATATAAAGCATTTTTATTATCACTTAAAGTTCTATTGACAGCTCTGCTCTGGGGACTGTCACTAATTTATAAGGCAGCCTGCTTCATTCTTGGATAGTCTAATTGCCAAAAGGCTCTTATTTATAATCAATAGAATTTTGTCTCTGTACTTTTCTGATTCTAATTCTGCCCTATACAATGAACTCAATCCCTCTTCCGTGTAAAGGTTTTCAGATGTTTGGAGAAGGTTTTCTCAAGGCTAAGTTGTTTCTTTTTTAGACCAAACATCTGTTCCTGCAGCTGTTCTCACTTGTCCCAGTGTCCACGCCTTTTGCTGTCCTGGCCCTCTCTCTCAAAGAGTTCTAGTTTATCAGTTTCCTCTTAAAAGAGAGTTCTAGAATTGAATGCAATAATGTAGATGTAGTCCCAGGACAGGGGAGAGTGTAGCGTGTATTTCCTCCCTTCATCGGAACGTTCAGTTTATGTATGATTGCAGCCCAAGAAGATTCATTTTCAGATTTGTGACGTCACTCTGTTGGGTCCGACTGCAGAAATCTCTCTCTGGCTGACTTATAACCCCTCCCGTGTTTCTAATGTTTGTTGACTTTGCTATCAACAGGTTGGTGAGAAGTTCCGTGCCCGTTCTTTGAAATTTCCTGGCTTGATATCAGGTTGCACTATGGACTGGTTCAGCCGCTGGCCGAGGGAGGCTCTGATTGCTGTGGCCTCCTACTTCCTTTCAGACTATAATATTGTCTGCTCTAGTGAAATTAAAAGACAAGTTGTAGAAACAATGGGCCTGTTTCATGACATGGTTTCAGAGAGCTGTGAAAGTTATTTCCAAAGGTAAGTGATATTACATGAGCAGCATCGCTATGGAACCACAGCATGTACTACCAAGAGGAATGCATTGTAACATCCAGCAGAAGACTCTTCCTATTGATTGAGCATGAGGTCCTGGCTGCATTTTTAGATCTTTCTTTCTTTGATTTTCTAGTGATTACGTATGAAGAGATGGCAAGTAAACAAGATTTCAAAACGGACTAGTGTCCACACTTAAATACCTTTTTAACCTCCAAACCTCAAAGTAACAGATACTTAATGAATTGCTTTATTTCATCTGCTTAATTTTGTTTTGAAAATGACTTAGCTAATTCATCACCACTGTTTAAAGTTAGTTTCTTGTTCAAATGCATTATTTATTTTGATTAAAGAAGTACACGGTTTCTAATGTTTTATTGCCTTATGTTGAGGGAGTATTTAGAATTTCTATTTGCATTACTCAGTCTTACCAATGTTTCTATGCCAGATAACTATGAAACAAAATATTAACTGACTGTGGGAAAACCACTCACTAAAAGTAGCAATGACATGTTCGTTATGTGAAAGCTGGTATCAACTATGCAAAAACACAGCTTTTTTCCCCACAAAGCATGACAGTCACTGTATAAGACTGACAAATGGGCCAGCATGGATCCCCAGAAAGGCTATGCCTGTTTTTCTGCATAGAGAGTTTGGGTAACACTCTCATTGATTCTCTCTGGCTGACTTATAACCGCTCTGTGTTTCTAATGTTTGTTGACTTTGCTATCAACAGGTTGGTGAGAAGTTCCATGCCCGTTCTTTGAAATTCCTGCTTTGAAATTCCTGTTCTTTGAGGTTCCTGCTTCACAAAAGTTTGTGTATTCCATACCTTTTTCTTTACTTAAAACCATTCCCAGACCACCCTTTTAAATAATTCCAGATAATATCTCCCAAATTCTCTTGGCGAATCAGTGTGTATTAATTCTTTTCTTTCTTTTTTTTTTTTTTTTGAGACGGAGTCTCGCTCTGTTGCCCAGGCTGGAGTGCAGTGGCCGGATCTCAGCTCACTGCAAGCTCCGGCTCCTGGGTTTACGCCATTCTCCTGCCTCAGTCTCCCGAGTATCTGGGACTACAGGCGCCCGCCACCTCTCCCTGCTGGTTTTTTGTGTTTTTTAGTAGAGATAGGGTTTCACCGTGTTAGCCAGGATAGTCTCGATTTCCTGACCTCGTGATCCACCCATCTCGGCCTCCCAAAGTGCTGGGATTACAGGCTTGAGCCACCGCACCCAGCCAGTGTGTATTAATTCTTACTGTTAAGAAGATTTTCTTTCTATTTGAACTCCTCCTGCTAATGTCATCTGTGGAGATAAACTTTTACCTTTGTGCAGCTACAAAAATCTGTTTTTTTCCTTTGAAAATTTGGGTATGTTTTTCAATTTTTTTATATGTTCTTAGGTTGTTGAACTTTATTCTGAATGTAATATTTTTGTAACACTTTAATGATAGTCACATAGATGCCCGAGATCTTTAAAAAAAACTTAAAAACATTAAAAATCTTCAAAACTACAAAAGTTTAAATTAATATAAAAGGTTAAATAATTTTATAGTACATGAAGAGCTCTTTTTTCACTTGAGCTTCTTCTGTATAAAATTATACCTTTTGTAATAAAGCCCACAATAAAAAAGCCCACAATAAAGTGGACATTTGGATCAAGTACGGTTGCCTTGATTTCAAGGCCAATGCAGTGAACTGGGGAGACATTGGTTTTTGCTTCTGTAAACCCACCCAGCTGATCCAGCAGTGAAGAGACTGTAGCAAATATCACTTGAATGAAAATGGATCACACCACAAATTCATTTCAACCACTTATCCCTAATATTTGTCCAGAACCTTAAAGTTTTGCACTGTTGACACCAACTTTCACATAGGGTGTTCACATATGCGATTTTGTTTGATCTTCACAAAATTCTGGGAGAAGTAGAGCAGACGTTCTTTTCTCAGTTTTCCAGATGAGGAAACAGAGTTGGAGTTAAGGGTGAAGTCAAAGACCCTCTCAGGGTCAAAACATCAGACAGATTTAGTCCTCTTTCCACTTCACCTCTGGGAAACCATGCTCAAATCCTGTCTTCCTGCTAGTGAATCACTCTACAGGATCACACTGATTTCCCTTGGGAAAGGTGTCATTTTATGGGTGTACCCACAGTGATTGAAATGTTCCTTTTAACGTTCTGCTTTCAGATACCGCCGAAGAGCACATGTGACTCCCAAATCGTACCTCTCATTTATAAATGGTTATAAAAACATTTATGCTGAAAAGGTGAAATTCATTAATGAACAAGCTGAACGTATGAATATTGGTAAGAGGAATGGAATGGGATGGAATGGAAATAGGGTTTGTTTGATAGGGATCTCATTATTTTGTTTGGTGGACATTTTGTTTGAAAATGAAATACTCACTTTGTTTGTAGTAGACAATTTTAAAGGATGCCCTTGAGGGTTTTTTGACCTGTCAGGAAATTCTGAACAGAAGAAAATCTAAACAGAAGTGGCCCATTTTCTCTGTAGAACCATTTCTCCTGGCTCTTTCAACTCTGGGTCCCCTGTGCTGAGTCACTGAGCCATTACTGGCAGATGGGGACAAGCCAGCGTTTGGGAATGAACAACAATTTCAGTTTTTGGTTTCACTTTGATTTGCCTTGATTTGTATAAACATTGCCATGTTAATGTTCCCTACATTTCTAATAAAGAAAAAGGCAAAATAGAAACAAAAACAAATAAAAACAAAAAGAGATTGTGTACCTAAGCAAGAGTTTTCCAAGTGTCTGGTATATGTAGTATAACTAGCAAAAGTAAACATTGGAACAGATTATATGTCCAGAAAGCATGTGGCCCAAACAATCTAAAGCACTTTAGTTCTTATTTTTCAAGTTCTAAATAAAACTTGAGGGGCTGGATGTGGTGGCTCTCGCCTCTAATTCCAGCACTTCGAGAGGCCATAGGCGAGCAGATCACTTGAGCCCAGGAGTTCTAGAGCAGCCTGGGCAACATGGTGAAACCCTGTCTCTACAAAAATATAAAAATTAGTCCGGCATCGTGGTGGCACATGCCTGTACACCCAGCTACTTGGGAGGCTGAGGTGGGAGGATCACTTGAGCCCAGGAAGTCAAGGCTGCAGTGAGCTGAGACTGCACCACTACACTCCAGCCTAGGTGACAGAGTGGGACCCTGTCTCAAGAAAAAAACAAAACAAAAACCACTCGGTCACGTAGCATAACTGAGCGCCAAGGTCTGTGAAGTCAGCGATGAGAGAAGACTGTGAAAAGACTTCTTCTGCGGTTTTCTCATGATTCATCTTTTTGCAGCTTTCCTATATGATGCTTTAGATCAGTAGTGTGCTGAAGCCAACTCATAGTGGCTTTTGAGAGCACAATATTAAATTTTTAGGAATTTTGTGATCTGCTTGTTAAAAAGAACTTTTATTAAAAATTAGCTCATGTATACTTACGATTAAGCAAATTGGATTTAAAATAAAGGCAATAAATGCTCAAACTCATCCCTTCTTAGTTTTACTCTTTTTTTTTTTTCCTTGGAGACAGTCTTGCTCTGTTGCCCAGGCTGGAGTGCAAGGGCGTGATCTCTGTTCACTGCAACCTCTGCCTCCCAGGTTCAAGTGATTCTCCTGCTTCAGCCTCCCAAGTAGCTGGGATTACAGGCGTGCACCACCACGCCCAGCTTATTTTGTATTTTTAATAGAGACAGGGTTTTGCCATGTTGGCCAGGCTGGTTTCGAACTGACCTCAGGTGATCCACCCGCCTCGGCCTCCCAAAGTGCTGGGATTACAGGGGTGAGCTACCACGCCCAGCCTACTCTATTTTCTTATATTAATGTTCTTGAGGTTATTTACTTCTGTCTGTGTGGTAGGAATATTACATAACAGTGTGGTACTGAGAATCTTTTGGTAGCTTGAAATCAGCCTTGGTGAGAGTGTTTACACTACAGAAATTGGACAATATAAAATGAGGGCTTCCCCTTCTCCCAGTGACCCAGATTTAAATATTTACCAACATCCCACTACCTAGAACCCATTGGAATATGAGCCATTCAGTTAACCAGTTCTTTTTCTCTACAGTGCTAAAAGTTGCAAAGTCTGTTACATAAACTTTCATAGTTATAGCAAAGAGAACCACAAAAATGTTAATATATTTTCTATCTCATTTGCCACCTCAGCTACAATATGATTCAAAGGCAAAAAATGATAGCAAAAACTGTTTACAAAGCCAAAGAGAGTATAAATTTGTCAAATAAGTATCTTGGCTAAACTAATCTTATTCAATAGGACATTGTGACCTTCCCTTAAATGTAGCTATGTGATATTCTTCGGTCAGAGCTGTTTTCTTTGCCTTCCTGTTGAAACTCAGAAATATGGTCAATATTGTTGCTCTTAAGATATGTATATTTTTAAAGCTTTTGTCTACAAATACAATTTTGTGTTTGTTATATTACATGTACAGTGCCTTATAAATAGTAAATAGTAAATAAATATTTGATGAAGGCATATACCTATACTCAGCAAAAGTATATATGTGTGTATTTGTAAAGGTCTTGATAAACTAATGGAGGCAAGTGAATCTGTTGCTAAACTGTCTCAGGATCTTGCAGTCAAGGAGAAGGAGTTGGCAGTGGCTTCCATAAAAGCAGATGAAGTGAGTTTGCATTTATTTTATCACTGATGAGGAATATTTTTCCATATTAAAATGCATTATTTTAAAATGGTATTAAAGAACAAGCAGGGTATAAATCTATGGACAATTCCTGGTAAGTTAGTGTTCACAAAGACTTAGACATTTTTGTTTAACTTATACCAGCGTATATCTGAACTATTAATTTTGCTACTTGGCCTAAGACTATTATTTCTTCTCTCACTCTGTCTGTCTCTCTGATTCTGTTTCATCTGTTTATGAAATTTCTGCTTGACTATGAGTTATATTTGGTCTTCTGTTTAAGGTCCCTGTATGTTCCAGGTTTCTGGGATGGCCCAAATCTCACTTATATGTGTCAAGGAGGGCAAAGAATAAAGAGGAAGAGTTGGTGGAGTTTCTTTTTTTTTTAAAAAAAGAAAGTGGAAAAATCCATACTCCTTTCAAGGAGATAGGTATATGTGTGTGCTGCTTTTTCTCTCTTTTTTTTTTGAGATGGAGTCTTGCTCTGTTGTCCAGGCTGGAGTGCAGTGGCACAATCTCAGCTTACTGCAACCTCCACCTCCTGGGTTCGAGCGATTTTCCTTCCTCATTTATGTATTTTCAGTAGAGACGGGGTTTCACCATGTTGGCCAGGATGGTCTTGATTTCTTGACTTTGTGATCCGCCTACCTCGGCCTCCCAAAGTGCTGAGATTACAGACGTGAGCCATGCTGCCCGGCCTATGTGCTGCCTTTTTAAAATCTATTATACAGCCTTCTAGTCTCAGATTTTCAGCTTCCAGTCACCAAGAGTCAGTTAAGAATAAATACTTCAATCTTGATCCTCGCCAGTTACTGAAATGAGTGAACTAACATAGGGGAGGCACTTACGCATAGTCCTGGCATATGTGATAAGCACTTAGTAAACATTAGCTACTTCTATTGTTATTATACAAGGCTTACTAGGGGTTTTTGCCCTTATTCCGTGATACTTTCTTGAATTGTTTTAATTTTCTAGAAATTTGTAGAGTGAAAATACTATTTCTTCTGAAAGCTTTAAATATTTATTTATATGTATTCTAAGCCTAAGGAAAGCTTAGAAAATGGAAAACTGCGAGGAACTGCTCAAAGGAATTTACTTTAATACACCTTAAAATATAGACAATTTAGATAGGAAATAAATTTGTTCTTATTTGTGTTTTATATTATGTTGAATAAATATTTGCTCACTATTCAAATCTGTAAATTTTGCTTGAAAGGTTTCTATTTGCTTTCATGTGTTTGCTCAACTTAACAGGTATTAGCAGAAGTCACAGTAAGCGCTCAGGCTTCAGCCAAAATTAAAAATGAAGTACAGGAGGTAAAAGACAAAGCCCAAAAAATTGTGGATGAAATTGATAGTGAAAAAGTAAAAGCTGAAAGCAAGCTCGAGGCAGCTAAACCTGCATTGGAAGAAGCAGAAGCAGCCCTGAATGTGAGCAGTGCATTGTTACCCTTTCCAACACAAGTCCTAGAAGGCATCATGTTTCATTACATGAAATTAACTCATCAGAAAACTGAATTGAGTTCTTAATGTGATTGATAATCTCTGAGTCTGGAAACAAATGTGTCAATTCAGTTTTCTAAGTTTTAATTTTTTTAAAGTCCTCACCTTTTGTATTATTTTCATCCCACAAATTGGCCTTCCACGAGAACTGAGAAATAATGCTAGTGGTTAGTGGCCTAAACTATGAGAAATTCAGATTACACAGAGAGCCTGCTCAGTTTCTCCACCATCCCTTCCAGATTATGTCATGCCCCCTTTTAAAATCTTCCTGTGGTTCCCACTGCTCTTAGGATAAAGTCCTGAGCTAGGCATTCACAGCTGTGAGGCAAAAGGTACACAGCTTTGGAGGCAGGCAGACCTGCATTCAACCTCTATGTATAATACACACACACACACATATATATACACATGCACATATATGGTTATATACACACGTGTATATACATACACGTATATACATATACACACACGTACATATATATGGATATATACACACTTATATACACATGTGTATATACATACACACTGCTAATACACACACATATATGTATGTATGTACGTATATATGATCTGGAGTAAATTTACTTAACTTTCTTGGGTATCTGTGGGGATTATAATATCTCATTGATCCTTAAAGAATCAATGCGAGCATTAAAAGTAATTAATACAAAATGCTAGGTACATAGAAAGTGCTCAATAAATATTAGTGCTTCTGTTCCTGCTGATGACCTGGCTTCTGTCTATCTCTTGAACTTGTATATCTTGTCATTTTGTCCCTACACACAATGCGATCCAGTCATACAGAAAAATGTATAGGATTCTGAAAGAATAGTCAGAATCTGTTACCTTTAAACGTGCCTCCACCTCTGCCGGGAATGCTTTTCCTAACTTTCATTGCCTACTTAGAGTCAATCTTCAAATCTGGGCCCAGACCTCACTCCTCCTAGAAAGTTTTCAGTTCTTCTTCAAGGCCTTCCTTTGTTTTCCTGTCACTCACATGCTTCTGTCATGGCAAAAATCCTTATGTAGGTTAATTGTATTTTCTTTGCCATTTTTCAGGAGGTTATGAGGACAAGACTATTTTTGTTTGTTTTGTTTTATATGGGAGAATGCCTACAATTGTTAAATGAATAAATAAATCTATGATAATAATTTAATAAAATGTTAACAATGACCAGGACACGTTCTGCACCCCTACTTCCTTTATAGGTCTTACTATAATGTACAAAAGGGAGAGATCACCGAACCAAAGGAGTCTTAGAACATGTTATTGATCATATGGTCTCCCAGTTCTTGCCTTGATGGTCAGGCAATGTCTTAATCCAAACCCAGCCAATGGATAGAACTTTTCAAAAATATTTTTATGAGCCATATATTACAGTAACTTCTCTTGTCTCCTTCTAATTCCTCCCCCTGCCATAGACAGGGAAGCCCTCAAAATGAAGGCTGAAGGTGAGGTTTCTGATATTCAGGGCTTTGTATCCTCTCTTAATATCCACAGCTAATATAGACCCTGTGCTTTGAAGATGCAAGTTATCTAAGTGTTACATATCATTGGGACTTATCTGTCGCCCGGGCTGGAGTGCAGTGGCACGATCTCAGCTCACTGCAAGCTCCGCCTCCCGGGTTCCCGCCATTCTCCTGCCTCAGCCTCCCAAGTAGCTGGGACCACAGGCACCCACCACTGGGCCCGGCTAGTTTTTTGTATTTTTTAGTAGAGACGGGGTTTCACCGTGTTAGCCAGGATGGTCTCGATTTCCTGACCTCGTGATCCACCCGTCTCGGCCTCCCAAAGTGCTGGGATTACAGGCTTGAGCCACCGCGCCCGGCCCATTGGGACTTATTAACAGAGGTCTGTGATGGCAATGCCTGGCAGTGATATTTTAAACCAATTCATTGGGAGCAAAAGGGAAAAAAAGAATACATACAAATAAACAAACAGAAATACCAAAATAACAATGAAAGAGCCACTAAGCAAAAATCTTGGAACTGGAGAGAAAATATGCTTTAAAGTTTTCTATCTTAATTATTTAAAAGTATTAGATTTCTGTGTAGCTATTAATACCACTCAACAAACAAAATATTGATCCCTAATCCCAAATACAGACTATCAAGCCAAATGATATTGCCACAGTCAGGAAACTTGCAAAACCACCACATCTTATTATGAGAATCATGGACTGTGTTCTGTTACTATTTCAAAAGAAAATTGACCCTGTTACTATGGATCCAGAAAAACCTTGCTGCAAGCCATCATGGGGAGAGTCATTAAAGGTAAGTCAAGTCTATCTTTGTCAATCCTATGAGCTGCATCAGGCATCCTCAGCCAGGGACACTCAATATAGTCCAGACAAACTGGCAGACAATAATTGATCATTGTGTATTGAAAAGTTTATCTTAAACTGCATCACGTAAAATGTAAAGGGGGATAGATTTAAAGCTGAATGCCTTCTTTTTATCACATCTGTCCAGAACTGGTGGCTAGTATTGGCACAGCCTTAGTGTCAACCCAGCCCAATCTTCAAAACGGGGCTTGTGTGGTTGGTGGCATTCAGATGCACTTACCAGAAAGAAAACTTACATAGCTTTTCTTCTTTACTCTTTCCACGTGGAATCCAGAAGACAATTTGTGATTTACAGATTTAGGTTGGCTACTGCCAATAGTCTCAATTTGTATATTTAGAGCAAATCAACTGTTACTTCTTTGAGAAAATTCAATTTAGAAGTACATATTAACTCAGGAAGAAAGTATTTATTTTCTTCCAGAACTTACAGGTTATAATACTATTTTTCAGTTGATGAGTGCAACAGGATTCCTGTGGAACCTTCAGCAGTTCCCTAAGGACACTATAAATGAAGAGACTGTTGAGCTACTACAGCCATATTTTAATATGGATGATTATACTTTTGAAAGTGCCAAAAAAGTCTGTGGGAATGTGGCTGGTCTCCTGTCTTGGACACTTGCTATGGCAATATTTTATGGCATCAATAGAGAAGTGTTGCCTCTGAAGGTAAAAGTTTCCTTCCTTCTCCCAGTAAATCAATGTTTCATGAAATCAATTATCAGTATTACTGCTATTAAAAGAAAATGCGTAGTTTAGATAAAGGTAGATGTCCCTGTTACCAAATTTGTCTTTTTTCTCTGTGTCCTCTCAAAGTTTCTCCTTCTTTTTATATCTGTTACATGCTTCTTGACAATGCAGGCAAGTGACTGAAACCAATGTGTTAACTTACACAGGAAATGAGTTTCTTGGGAATAATAATCAAGCTGTCATAAGAAGAAAAACTTGCCATTTCTTTGAAGTTTGGAGATTAGGTTTGGAGGTTGGATTTGATGACTGTATTTCAAACAAAACTTATAAAAATTAGACTTGACACTAGAAATGTTCTAAATTTCCAAGACAGGAGGAGAACCTTAAATGCAATCGAAGAAGCAAACAAAACCTAAAAGGTTGTTCACAAAAGACAAATCAAGATGTTGCAGATTTCCCATAACCCTAAATACTAGAAGATAATGGAAACACATATGCAGTGTTTTGAGGAGGAAAATGCTGGGGTCCAAGCACTCAATAATGGGCAAAGCTGGTCTTCATGTATGAGGGAACAGAAAGAGATTCTTAGGAGTGCAAGGATTCGTGAAATGTGTCAGTCAGATACACACTGCCTCCAGGGCCCTGTCTCAATCCCCCACCCCCACAAAGCTGAAAGTATTGTAAGTCGTTGCTCTGTGGAATGGATAATGATGAGTCGGTGGACAGGGGGTTACTGTTTTTCATAATAAGCTTTAGAGAAATGGCTGCCTCTTTAAAACCTGTGCATGAGGAACTTCGAGAAAAATAGAAAATCAATTTAAAATAAAAAGTTTCAACAAAGAGAAATGATAGGAAAAATATGAAAAAAACACACCCCAACAAAAAGATACCAAGGGAGAAATCTTACAATAAATGTAGAATTCAAGAAAAAAACAAAACACACACACATCAGAAAAGAGCTATTCTTTGTTGATAAAAATTATGATCCATAGTGAAGACAATTAAAATAATGTGTTATGCAATAAATAAAATAGCATCAAATCATATAAAGCAAATCCATTAGTATTTTCAGTGGAAATTAACAAATATAATACTGTAATTTGAGATTGTGGCACATGCTATCAAATTAACAAAAATAATATTGTAATTTGAGATTGCGGCTACCCCTGGTAGGCATAGGGCCAGCTTCTTGGGTATGCACACAGGGCCTTGTGTTAATGCTCTGCTGTTGCCATCTTCAGATTCTTAATAATTTTTTTTAACAAGGGGCCCCACATTTTTCATTTTGCACTGGGCCCTGTAAATTATAGAGGCAATCCTGAGTAGGCATAAATTAGTAATTATATAGAAATTTTACATGATATTATTTTTCAGGTTGAATAACTACTTTGAACTTTCTCCAATATAAACAAAGAATATGAAATTATTTCTAGAGTACAAGAAACATTTATAAGAATTAATTATATTCAATGGTAAAAGAGGACCTCGATTAAATTCCTGAAAGCAAAAAATCCTGGGGTCTCATTCTCTGATTATAAGCAATAATACTGGAAAGTTTACATTAAAATGAAGTCAGTCATTCCTAATTAGGACATAATGAAAATAAGTGAGTTACCAAAGCTTCTGTGATATGGCCAAAATGGTACATTCTTAGCCCTTACATGCATCAAAGAAACTAAACATTCCACTTAAGAGTTAAAGTATATACTCACTCATAAGCATACATACACACGAAATTTAAGGAAAGCAGAATAGAGCCAATAAAAATAACATTAAAAATTAGAGAAGAGAAAAGCAGCAGAATTAATGAGCAAATCTTTTTTTTTTTTTTTGAGACTGTATCTTGCTCTATCGTCCAGGCTGGAGTGCAGTGGTGTGATCTCGGCTCACTGCAAGCTCCGCCTCCCAGGTTCACGCCATTCTCCTGCCTCAGCCTCCCAAGTAGCTGGGACTGCAGGCGCCCGCCACCATGCCCAGCTAATTTTTTTGTATTTTTAGTAGAGACGGGATTTCACCGTGTTAGCCAGGATGGTCTCGATCTCCTGACCTCGTGATCCGCCCGCCTCGGCCTCCCAAAGTGCTGGGATTACAGGCATGAGCCACCGTGCCCCGCCCGGCCATTCATTTTGGGATTACAGGTGTGAGCCACCACTCCCGGCTGGCATTAATGAGCAAATCTAAGAACCTATGCTTTACAAAAACAAAACTGTAAGAAATATTCCAGGAAAATCTAATCAAGAAGAAAATAAAAACAAATGAAAATAGAAAGATAAATCCTCATAATTCTAGATGTGAAGATTCAAGTAATTATAAAGCAATTTTTTTTTAAGAGACAGAGTTTCGTTCTGGCCCCCAGGCTGGAGTGCAGTGGTGCAATCATAGCTTACTGTAGCCTTGAATTCCTGGGATTAAGCAATCCTCCTCCCTCAGCCTCCCAAACTGCTAGGATTATAGGTGTGAGCCACTGTGCCAGGCTACAAATATTGCATAGTTGTATGTCAATATAGTAGAAAATCTAAATGAAATAAAAATGTTATGGGAAAAGGAGCTAAATTCAAACAAACATTGAGAACAAAAATAAGAAAGGTATCAAAGAACTTCTACCCCAGAAGGCTTTGGGCCTAGATTACTTTACTGATTATTTTAAATTTACAAGAAGCAGATCATTACCGCATTGTAGGACTTAGAAAAATATGAAAAACTACTGTTACAGTAATTTCACTTGCAGAATCTTTGATATGTTTACATATCCAATACTCACAACATTATTTGTAATAACTAAAAATGGGGGGTGGAGAAGTGTATACGAGTAGGAAAAAGGTTAATTATGATACATCCAACGTGTAGAATATCATGCAGTCACATAACTAATGTTCTTGATGGACTTGGGACCTTCATAAAACGAAATGAAATAAAAAAAATCAAAATGCCAATTACCAACTTCCTAACACAACACTCACAGGTTATGTCTGAGTAAAATCGGGGTAACTTTTGTTCTCCTTCCTATACATTGCTGCATTTTCCATGTTTTCTTATTAAACATTAATAATTAAAAAAATTTTTTTTTGAGACAGGGTCTCACTCTGTCACCCAGGCTAGAGTGCAGTGTTGCGATCACAGGTCACTGCAGCCTTGACCTCCGGGGCCCAAGCGATCCTCCTGCTTCAGCCTCCAGAGTAGCTTGGACTACAGGTGCATGCCACCATACCCAGCTAATTTTTCTATTTTCTGTGGAAACAAGATCTCCCTGTTTTGCCCAGGCTGGTCTTGAACTGGGCTCAAGTGATCTTCAGCCTCCCAAAGTTCTGGAATTACAGGCATGAGCCACCGTACCTGGCCAGTAATTAAAAATCTAAAAGTAATGAAATACCCTCCAAGACTCTCTGCTTTCCCAGCCGAAGACACTGAAACAGATGAGCTCGAAAGTCCCATGTAGTGCAGAAATTATGTGATTTGTGTTATCTACCAATTACAATCATGACTGTTTTGTGCAGCTAATACACTAACCATGTCTTCTTTTCAGGCCAACCTGGCCAAGCAGGAAGGCCGGTTAGCAGTTGCTAATGCTGAGTTAGGGAAGGCACAAGCCCTGCTGGATGAGAAGCAAGCTGAGCTGGATAAAGTACAGGCAAAATTTGATGCAACAATGAATGAGAAAATGGTGAGATTAAATATACAAAATCCCCAAAATGGTGTACTGAAACTTTATACAAGAGCATGCTGTATTTGGAAGTCAGGCAAATGGTTGTGATGACAAAATACTGGCCAGCATGCCTATCTGTTTTGGATCTTTGGTGCTCAAAATTTTTTTGTGTGTGTTTTCACTGATCAAGCTGTACCATCACTGATTTGAGGGTTAGAAAACTGGGTTTGAAATGCAGCTCAGACATTTGTTAATTGTGTGGTTTGGGGCAATCTACCTAGCTCTGTTTGTAAAATGGGGATCCTGATATGACCTCTTAGGATAGGATGTAAGCAATGGTGGTCTAGTAAATGTTTAACAGTCTAGTGTGCCGTGCGGGGACAGGAAAGCCCAGATTTGTAATATTTGCTGATTTCTGTGGTGGAAATACTCCCATCACTGGCAATTCTAAACTAGCAATGTAACGTCACTGAGCACAGATTTGGGAAAAGGTGCATGGCAGTACACCATTGCATACTATTTCCACCATCCAGATACAACAGCCTTAACGTCAAGAACATAGATAATATTAACATTTAAATGATTAGGAAGTAAGCTTTTGTTATTTATTGCTTTTGCTTTTAATATAATTTTTTAATTGTAAGCTTACATAGTTTAATTTTTAATAAAGGCTGTGTTTAGCACCAGCTCACAAATACTCTAAAAATTTAACAGTTGGCTCTTATGAGTTGGTGCAAGCCAGCTGCTGCATGCTACTGTTGTCTGGGATTTTTCCAGGAGAAAATACTTTGTAAATGGCAAAGAACTCAGGATTATTACTGCATCCAAGACGTCGAAAGGGCAAATCTTATTGATTTCTGTTTTGAAAATGTTCAATAGAAATACTATTTTAATTTATCTGATTAAAAGATAAATTATGTGATTTGGATTCTGTCTTACAAAATTGCTTTCCTTGAAATTTTGTAAGGTAAAATCACTATATTATGAATGATCAAAATTTAATATGTGAAGTTTCATGCACACTGTATTTTTAGGTTATATTATTTTGCAAATTAAGAAATTCCCTCGTGTATTTTTATGTGTGAATATAATGGATGTTTGTGTTAAGCACTTAGAAAAGTGTTTTTGAGACATTCTCCCATTATGGCTGCAGGATTTGCTTAATGATGCTGATATGTGCCGGAAAAAGATGCAGGCCGCCTCCACTCTCATCGATGGGCTGAGTGGAGAAAAAATCCGATGGACCCAGCAAAGTAAAGAATTCAAAGCTCAGATTAATAGGTGCGAATCTGGGTCTCTTCACAGTCACTCTTTCTTTGTGACATTAGAGAACATAAAGTCCATTTCCACGGTGAAATGCTTTTCTCCTTCATTTCCATGTGTTCATGTCTGAATCCCGTCATCTATGACAGCGCTTACAACTTAAATCATGCACTCTAGGTGAAATACTATAGAGGGTGAAGAAGATTTTGTGAAATATTTTACATCTCAGCTGTGGTTCAGTATAAGAGTGCTTTTGATATTATTTGGATTTGCCAGGGCTATCTAGATGCTCACTCCAGTTCTCTATGCTTCACCTCAATGATTTTGGAAGTGTGGATCAATGGTTTGTTGTAAATGCAAGGCTGTCTTTTGCTGGTGTCAATTGGCGTCCTTAGAAAACTTAAAAGAGAGCGCAATGAGAGAGGAGCAAGAAGATGGCAATAAACAAACAAACAAACAAATAAATAAAAAGGGAGGGGAAAGAAAACATGGCTTAACACAAGATTGAAATCTGAACAAGACCAAGGGACAGGATGGGGGAAGATGCTTTCCACACAGTACCAAGGCTCACGACCTGTAGGCTTTGGGAGGAAGCCTTCTTTCTTGCTTCCTGACCACCCCACATGTGGCTACTCCCACCCACTTTTGGGTTTTGGGCTCCACTTTGCATGGTCTTTTCCATGCCTGGCTACCAAGCATTAAGCAGGGGCAAAGAAGGATTTCCCCCAGTAACAGAGCAAAACTGTGACCTCTCAAACAACTTAGCGAAAGAGCTTAAAACATGTCAGGTGACTCACTTTGGGGAGGGGGCTGTGTGTTTTTTCTTCACAGACTTGTAGGTGATATTCTGCTGTGCACGGGATTCCTTTCCTACCTTGGTCCTTTCAATCAGATATTTAGGAACTATTTGCTTAAAGATCAATGGGAAATGGAGTTGAGAGCACGGAGAATTCCTTTCACAGAAAACCTGAATCTTATTTCAATGTTGGTGGATCCTCCAACCGTAAGTTTTACTTTCCCAATATTATTTGAATTTCAGTCTCACTTTATTTCTTACTTACTAAGAAACCCGGCTGCGTGCAGTGTCTCACGCCTGTAATCCCAGCACTTTGGGAGGCCGAGGAGGGCAGATCATGAGGTCAGGAGTTCAAGACCAGCCTGACCAACATGGTGAAACCCCGTCTCTACTAAAAATACAAAAGTGAGCTGGGCGTGACGGCGCATGCCTGTAATCCCAGCTACTCAGGAGGCTGAGGCAGGAGAATCACTGTAACCGGGGAGGCAGAGGTTCCGAGATCACGCCATTGCACTCCAGCCTGGGCAACAAGAGAGAAACTCCATCTCAAAAAAAAAAAAAAAAAAAAAATATAAATAAATCGAAACCCGGGTTCATTAAACTTTTTCTTTAACTAG